GTAGCAGTAGCAGTAGCAGTAGCAGTAGCAGGAGAGGCAGCAGGAGGAGGAGGAGGAGGAGGAGGTTTTTCCATGAAGTAACCCATCTATACTCACCGAACTTAAATCCCTTGGCCGTGAACTTCCTCTGGTTAATAGACGTGTCCTTGTTGCACTTGCAAACTATATTTAAACCAAGAACAATGCAATCAGGATCATTTAGGGTTAGATGGTTATTAATCGATCAAATGAATATCAAAAGGCGCCGCAACTGCGTGTCAACTGATTTTGTCAAATAGTGTGCAAGCCAATGTCAAAGTCAAAGTGTTATACAATCTCAGGCACAGTTTATATATGTATTACGCGCGCATCAAACCGTTCCATAAAAAAAGTAGGACAAGTAGGCTTTAGACTGCAGCGCAATCAAATCCAAGTGCATCACTTGATAGTACTGGCGTTCTCCACTCCTCTTCACACAGATAATTTGTCCCTTCTATTGTGACATATCCTATTGCCATGTAATCGTCATCGACTCGAGCTGATCAATGGTTCCGTCGTTTGTCATATTTAATTAATATGATAAGGACCACTTTTTACCAAAACAGACGTCACGACCACCCATTGACCCCTCCTGTACTTAGAGTCCTCTAAAATCAGTACGATAAACTTTCGCAGGAAATGCGCCTTTTCCAAAACGACAGTTATTACTAAAGAGATCTCATTTACTCGCCAACGTAATCGGATTAGTTCAGATAGTTTTTCCAGGTTGTCCTCTCACGGTAAATTCAAATGAAGCGCTCACCCCAAGGGCAAAAATTAATTCTTCGATTGATTGCCTCAGATGAATGATCCGGTTGTAGGTATGGACTTGAAATGAAATTACAATGATCGTTTTTGTTTCCCACGCGATAGGTTTCAGCTCACCCTCGCGTGCGGTATGGCTGAGTGTGGGAACTAAGACATGTTCTAAGAATAGTTAAACAAATACACGCAAATATAGCCCTTGTTTATTTAATGGGATGATTGCATGAACTACGATTAACTAGAGTCGACAGTGGAATCGACTGACGAATACACTACATGTTAGTTGTCTAGTGTCGGAGTCAGCTGTAAAGATGTCGCGTTTTTCTTTTTTTAAGAAAAGTTTTCCAAAAACATGAAAGAATCGGAAACTTGCATGGCTTCGTTAGATCTCTCTCTCGATTCGAGCCGTCTCTAAGTTCTCCATTTTTCATCCCTCCGCAAAAAGCTAAAATCAAATGAGTTATAGCTGTGCCCTGACTTAGATCAGTCCAGAGACAGAGTAGCGATAAAGCTTTAAGGTTCGTAAATATGTTCAGTTAATTTGATGACGCAAGTAATCGCTTCTAGGTCGGATTTCGTATAACTGTAAAATACTAACTGCTAGAAAATGCTGTACACCCTGATGCAGTACCGATCCTGGGTCAGCGTAAATGCGTGTGCGCTTCTGTACCGTCGTTGTGCCATATTTCTTATCACAGCAGCGTTGCTTTTGACAAACCCGGAAGCGACTTTAAACAGAAATGACGTCACACTTCCCGCCATATTTTCACGCGAAACTCGCTTACTGACCACGAAGAATAACCGCACGTGAAAATAACTATACTCTTAGGGGCGACGCAAAATTCAATTCAATAAAGTTGCCTTGATAAATTCCATTCGCGTTAATAAAATTAACCTTTGTTTAGTGATATTATAAAACATTTTTTCTTTGGTCACAGGAAATCCCACTTTATAACCGAGTCTGTAAAATTAAAATGTCTTAAATCCAAAAGATTTTAAAATCAAATAAGAATGACAAAATTGGTGCTTCAGGGGAGATTTTTAATTCAGTGCCTGATCTGCCGTTAGTAATTACTTCTTATCCAATTAATTAACCAAATGACTGCGATAAACGTTGCTCTTAAATATACCCCAAGTGATCTAACTAACGACTTAAATCAAACAACCCAAAATGAAGAAAGTAAAAAGCCAACAAATCCTACAAAATTTTTTTTGGCACAAAATGAAATCCAGGCCTTAATCATAGATAGAATTCTACTTGGTGATAAGTGACTAGGTGCATTTTGTCACTGATGTAGACTATAGGGCTGACCTTTGCGGCAGTTTTAAGACAGATCATTTCCTTTTATATAAATAGAGTGACGATCAAAGGACGACCTTCACTGGGGTCTCCCACATGGGGTCGGTCCTCTTGTTGATAAAATTGCTCATCAAGCGTCTGGAAGCGCGGCTAAATTATTCAAGGCATGTTCTATTCTTCCTGCTGCTGTACGATATTTCTTGGATACAACAAACACTATTTTCTTGAACAAAAACGAAAACAAAAACAACAACAACAACAACAAAAAAAAGCCGCCTACATCCAACGAAAAATGATCCTCAGTGTTAGAGATTTTAGTGTACTAGTTGAATAAGACGAGTAAGACTAACAAAGGAAAAAGAAATAAGATCTAGAAACACAATGCTTTATTACTAGGGAAGCTAGCTCCCTTCCGCATTGGGAAAACAAATGGAAATCTATGAGTTTTATCATTAGGGATGTAAAAAATGTCTTCAATTTTTTCCCTTAGTTTGCTTCAAATCCTTTTTCCTCTTTTTGGTGTTTCGGTTCTTCATTTCTTTTTGTTTCTTAATAAGTTTTCTCTTTTTCTTTTTATTATTTTGCTAATTAGTAGTTTTCTTTTTTAATGATTTTCTCAAAATATAATCAGTGCCTTCATTACTGATATTAGTATGGCATCGTTACTCATAGATCATTTCTTACCTATTTTTGTGAATTTGACCAAAAACAAATATTTGGCTCTTGCAAGTTCTATAAGCTCGGCCAAATAATGTCAAAATATACGTGTAGTAGTATGGCAAGATTTATTGTCTGTTCTGGGTTTTTTTAGCATGTCTTCGCCATTTCTTAACCTTTATCTTGTAACTCGATGTTTTCTGACTTGCAGTATCATTCTCTACCCTGCTTCAAAACATCGACAGATATTTGCATCTCAAATCATCAAGTGCGGAGTTTGATGCTCCATAATGTGGCAAAAACTGGATACATCGAGATTCCCTGCCTGCTTCGTATTTGAAGAATGACTAATGACTGATTGATTGCTTACATTAACTCTACTCTTCTCCCTTTAAGTGGATCTGAAGACCGATATTTCCCATCATTAAGGAGTCAGTCATCAGTCCGGCGAACTGAGATAAAGTGATCGAATCCCAATCTCTCACATGCGTTTGGTCTCTAGCTTCCACCGATGAATTATCTAAACCTACTGAATCATAATCACAAGCGCACATCATCTGCGTATTACTTACCAGGTCTTGGAGGATGGCTCACGAAAGATTCCGGTTTGACGCAGACTCCTTTTTCGTATGTAGGCATGTTTTCGCAGTTGACGTCGCTGGGCCATTTGCGCCCGAACAGCTGAAGGGATGGCGTACATTCGCGTTTGACTTTGTTGCAGACTGATCGACACGGAGGTATAGGAATATCAAACCCACTTGTACATATTGGAAGATGGTAGACGCACAGTAGAAAAACCAGTGCATCGGAACAACTAGTGTTTATGAGGGTTCTAATCTCCACGTTGTCGACAGATGCAGCGACACTTTCCTGAGTGTAGTGATAGAGTAGGTTTGGCAATCGCGTCATGTTGTATGGAAGAGACTTGCATATCGACACCCTGATAGGCTGACAAGTGTTAGGGACGCTGTAGCTACAGTGCGCACAGCCAAAACACAGCGTAAACGCGACTAATAAAAACACCAACCCCATCGTTGCTCTTTGAGTCCTGATTCCAAGTTGTGTCCTTCTGGAGAAGTCGTGCGTTTTATACTAGACCGGCCAGGCAGTGACCGCACATCCTCTATGATCAACTGGCTTCAGTGTCTACGCTTGGATTGTCAAACCAGACAAACAATCTGTGCTTAATGACCTCGTTGCTCGATCACTGGCCTCTCAATGACGATTAGCCTTTTGAAATCATAGAAATAGATCCGTTGTTGTCCTGTGCTGGAAGAAATTGGTGCATTTTATCAGGAAGTTAGCGTCTGTTGATTCTYAATACCATTTCTTTATCAAGAAACTTGAAAATATTTCAATTAAAGATAGCAATGTTTAGAAATGAAGAAAACATTACGTATATTAATGATATCAGTCAGTTTGACGTGGATAAGGTCAAGTGGAATCAGTTATTGTCGTTTCCTAATCCGCACATTACTGAGGCTGAAATATATATTCGGGTAATAAATCTCTTGTGGTACGTATCACATTGATAAACAAACAAAAATAGGCCATCTAAAAAAATCAATAGGCCATTTTTCTATAGCTTCATTTAATGCAGCTACCAAAATACCTTGCGCTCTTTCTTTCGTTTAGTTCATTAGCACTAATTCTACTGTTCTCTTGAGGGAATACCAGTTAAAGCAAAAATAGAATAAATAGAATAAAAACAGAAAGAACCGGTTTTGGATATAGTTTATAAGGCAGGTCAAGTTTTTTTTTGTGTGTGTCCGTTTGGCTTTCTGGAAAACTATGCCTTTTTACGTAGAATAGATAACGCTCTTCAAGGAAGAGTCCGTACGCTTTGCTGTTTGACCTATTTTGTTGATTCAAGATGAAGAGGAAATCACAGAATATTTATATCTTTACGTGAATTCAAGCGTCTGGAAAATTGTTCTGTCTGTGTGTAACGTTAGTACAGTTAGACCGGACGAGATGAATAGATAACGCTTTCTGAGGAAAAGCGGAAAGCACGTTTATTTTATTTTATTTTATTTTATTTTATTTTATTTACTTTTTGCTTAACAAAGGAGGATATCACAGCATATCAGTTTGAACGTAAACTCAAACGTCTGCAAAAAGCCTATGACGCGCAATGCGACCCGTTCATTTCGCTTTAAATTATTTTGCCCTGCAAGAATTCGAACATGATAACCGATAGTGTATAAGGTGACGCATTTAATTGAGCCCCTTTGCACGTTTGCATAAACCATTGTTTATAAAAGGACTATGAAAAAGTCATCAAGTAGGAACGTGCCGTGCCGTGACCGCGAAAATGCCATTTCAAGTGCCATCTCTCTAATTGGATGAGCGYTAGTAATCTCGCGTACTATGATTGGTTCAAAAATGTCTTTAATTCGTATGCTAACCATGCCGTGTGCTGTGACGTTCCATTATCGTCGAATCTACATTGGAAAAAGCGCGCACAGATAAATGCACCTCACCCGCATAATATTTTTCGGGAAGCACGGGTGGCGTGCGCTTCTTATGCGTCGTCTCTCACCAATGCGACCCGAGTTCCAGCCGTGCTCGGTGTCGTATGTGAGTAGAATAGTTTGTTGGTTCCCTCTTGTGCTTCGAAGGTTTTTCTCCGGGTTCTCCGGCTTTCCTCCCTCCGCAAAAATCAACTTCTAAATTCCAATTCGATCTTGGGCTTTCACCTAGCATGGATCTGACGGTTCCGTTCGTGATTGTCCCACTCTGTCATTACAGTTATACCAGTCAATCAAAGCTAGTTAATATCTTGATAATAGCTTGAATATCAAAGCCACTTGAAAGTGTCAAGGTAGCGTTCAATTCCCTCCCAAGCGCGAAATAAGGATCACGTGTTAAGARAACTTATTCATATATATCTAAAAATACATTTTATTTAAAACATTTACAATGAAACCTAGAACTTCAAGTGCAAAAAGATTAAGGGTATCGATCGCTCCAGTCGATATGTCATTTCATGAGGGCATGTCGTATGTGCATTCATTAATAAAGTGGCATTAGAATTTTCAGTTTATTAAATAAGACGATTTCATGTCTGAATCTGATTAAAGTCACAACATTCCTTGATAATCCTTGGATAAAAAATATTTTCAAATCTAAAACTCAAAGACTGTCAAGAAATTTGCCAGAATGCCTTGGTAATCCCGGGATAATAGTGATTTTTATATATTTAAAACTTAAAGATTGGCAAACAAGTTGCCAGAATGTATTTAGTAATCCCAGGATAAAAGGTGATTTTCAGATTTAAATTGAACTCGAAGATTGTCATGAAATTTGGCAGAATAGTCTTTAGTGTAATCCTGAGATGTTAAGCGAGATACGAACGAACAGAATTTTACCCCTGGGTTCCCGAGGATGAGCAAAGTCAGGATGAATCTCGTTTTTTTCGGTGCATTACAAAAGAACAACGGACCTACGTTCACTTCCTGATTCTGATTCGGAAGGCATCGAAATATGATGCTTGGGGGGTGGGGGTGGGGGTGGGTATAGAGATAAGGGATGGAGCATTAAATAATTGATGGGGAGGTTGCTATGTTACACGTTTGCATTATATATTTTTATGCTTTCGAAGTGTGCGCGCTAATTATTTTCATGTAACATTCCTTAGTCACGCAATTTTGTTACATCATTCCATATTTCTTTTTTGAAAAGAGGTTGCGCGATAATTTTCTTTCGTACGCTAAGTGCTTGCTCGATATTTTTTGAGGATTTATGCCCCCTCAATAATCATGTGATAGAAATGGAGGTGCTACGTTACGTAATAGAATAACTGGAGAAAAATACCAGGGGTCAGGTAGAAATTAATAATAATGAGTCTTACAGGGTGATGAAACGATTGYTTAGACAATAATGGTTGAAATAAATATCCTGGAGAGAAAAAGGCTATCCCAAAGTGATTCAATCTTGGAGAGGATGGGTTAGGCGAACAATCCAGGGGAGTGGGGCCACTGCTAAGGTTCGATTGGAAATAACAATCCCGAAAGGAGAGAGGTGAATAACTGAGAACGATTTTGATGCCAGTGCTCTAGGTAAGGAGGGGAGTGCTAAAAATTCCAAACCAATTCTCTTAGTGGCCACCTACTAAACCTGAACTACCTTTATGATGATGCGCACTTACGTTTTTTGCAGTGGTACCAAGCAAGGGACTGTTCAGGTTATATAGGAAGGGGGGTGTGTTAGTGGGATTTGCTTGCTGACTCACACCTGAAATCTGACCCCCCTCCCCCCGTCTCCATTATTGCATAAAGAATAGTCCCTACCTTATTTTCATTCTGCTTATCTTAAAAGTGCGGTGCGACTTTAAATTTTTTGCCCTCTCCCCATCTTTTAATGACGACCTAATTTAAATTTCGCCCCTGCCCCCCTGCCACCCCTCCCCTAAGAATCTTTCAAGGACATCAGAAATTTAATGAGAAACATATGGGGAACGTTTTACCATTAAGGACTGACCTTTAGGTATCAGTGCCGGAAATCAATCCATCCAAGACCGATTTGATCGTGACTAGTGAACATTCTGGAACCGGAAATACTTCAGTTTTAGTAAAAAGGAACCCCGATTAAATATTTACTATCTACCCTACTCGCTCTCTCGAAAATTCCGCGATTGGTTTGGAAATGTCAGTTTCCATGGAAACCTCGCCTGTTCGTTCCTGGTCACCATATTATTGAGCCTAAGGGACGGACCATTAGATTTTTGAGGGGGAGGGGTTAGGCAATTTATTTTGTGCAGGAATTTTTTTTACCCCTCTTGGCTGTGAAGGATTTTTTTTGGACACAATTTGGATTTTTTTTCTGGCACTTTCTTGTGCACGATCTTTTTTTTTTTTTTTTCACTCGTTAAAGCTGTGCGCAATTTTTTTTGGTTTTGCCCACCCCCACCCCCCTTAAATCTAATGGTGCGTCCCTAAAAAATACACGAGACTTGACTTCAAGCGTGAAATGCATCGACTGATCGTGCTCAGGATTATCTTAGTTAAGGGGGCGCGACACCCTCATTTCCTGTATCATAAAAGTGCCACATTTAGATTTAATTTAATCTGTAATGATGACTAACCGGAACTGAGGTTAGATTAATTGTGTAATGCGCATCCTGGCATAATGGAGCCGAAGCCCTATGATAACCACTAACTACGATATAACTAGTTTTTAATTAAGTGTGCAATCGATTTATAATGAATTTGATTACTTGCGCAATCGAGAAAATTTGTTACATTTGCATATATTAACGGGTAGAATAATAATCTTCGAGCAGAATCGATCTCCTTTTACCTTTTCCTCCTTTCTCTCACTCGGGGAAAACACTGCCAGTGAAAACACAAAAAGGCCTTGCTATCGATCGGGAAAATCTGTAAGAATTTTAGAAAAATTAACAAGATTCTTTAGATGATTGACTTTTTGTCTCCTCGGATTATTTTTGTCTTAAACTGCTTTTTTCATGGCTCGACCTTTTTGTTCTCCAACGAAGGACGACTAACTCAACGTCTTTATTCTTAACAATGTGCATCAGTTTTCTTCTTATTCACTTGTTGTATCAGAGTCAACACCGCCCACGCAGTCCCAAACAACTTTTGATTCAAATTAACAAATCACGTTTTAGACGCTGAATCAAGGATGGTGACCAATTCTGGAGTTTAAACTGTTTCCTCAAGGTGACACAAAATTAATCATTGGTTAAAACTAACCGCTAATATTATCGATATGAGTTTATCACTTGGAAAGCCAGATAGAATATGAAGTTTCCTATGTTACCTAAAATATTAAGAATAACTTTGAAGAGATCTAGACCCATTACCACTCTTTTCATTCACGCGCTAATCGAGACAACAGCCGTAACAGGAAAATAGGGCAATACTCTGCCGCCAATCAGAGAATAGCRATCTTTAGATCCGACGAGTACGAGTTCGAGTTTTAAGATTGTTCCTGTGCAAGTCTGAATCGTAGTCGATTTTTTACAATCTAAAGTTTCAATCTACGTACACGATAACGACTACAAAATGATTACATCTCTTTACGAGTTAAAAGCTTGAAGTGTACTTCCCAATTTTTCGGTCGCGACTGTTGTCTCGATCATCGCGTAGCAATGAAAAGAGTGGTAAAAGTTTTTTTWAAAAGTTTTTTAGTTATTCCCGCTTTTTTCCCGTTGTCTGCGCAAGGGCGTCCTCTCATCGCGTCATCCAGCATCGAGTTATAAAAGGTTTTCACACCTTCGATCAACCGTTTCTGCCTTTTGTTTGTCTATTGTTCTTTATTATCGTTGGGTTTTTAACTTTTTTTGGGAGGAGCAGATTAGTCGCGTCATCCAACGTTTTAAAAGAGTAAATGGTTTGAACCCAGGTGTTAAAGTTGGGCGTTTATATAAACGGCGTTGCAAGTTAGAACAGTTTGGCGTTTATAAAGTAAGAACAAGTAGTGCGATCGATTAGAGCGTTTATTTTTGTTCATTCGGAACGAACTATCCTTATGTTTCTTATACTAAAATAAACATTCGTTTTCGGTTTGTAAAGTCCCCATCGTAAGGAGGTACTTGTGAGCCTAACTCATATGGTAGTTTCAGCTCCAATTAAAAAATATCGAGTAAAATTCTTTACACGATGTCCAAGCATCTGAATTTGCTGTTTTTCTTTCGAGTGTCGTCCAACATTTCACTTACTGCACGCATCTTTGCTCATTGTTTTGTTTTTGTTCGTTTTTTTTTTTTTTTTTTTTTTTTTTTTTTTTTTTTTTTTTTAAAGTTCAAACGGAGCAACAAAAATGAAATCCTGACTGTTCCTCTTGTTTCAAACCTTTAGTTCCTGTGCGCCTTGGCTTGGAATCAGAGACGTTCCATTGCGCAAGGGTTTTCATGCTCTGATCATATTAAGTCGTTTGCCAAGCGCTAGCTATGAAATTGCTGGGTTTTTTAAGATTATTATTCTGGCTTATAAAAATTTTCAGTTCTCTCAAAAAAGTTATTATCTCAAAAAAGTTACCTGAGAGAACAAGAAAGATATGAATTAGTTCGAAGGAACAGTATTTCACCTACAGTCAACCAACACTAAAAACGGATGCGAGGGAGACTATGATTTTGCCTAGAAGTTCTCAAAATTGTTTTGACAATGCGAAAGCTATTATAATTAGAATCTTTGTCTGTTTAATCTTGTTACGAATCAATAACTGCAGTTGCATCAATAGGAACAAACAATCAAGTGATGCCTTTCCTCTCAGTTCAAATAAGATTAACCAACGCCCTGAAGTCAGTTACTAGCATTTCATTCATTTGATTAGTGTGGTATTCAAATTACCATCTTAAAAAAAAAAGAAAACAAGGAAAAAAACCGATAGTTTTTAAAAGCTTGAATTATAATAGTCTGCTCTGTATTAAAATCAATGATCCATGGCAAGGTGCGAAACGCAAACAATAGAACAAGCAATAGAAGGATACACACGCTCCATAGCTGTATCCTCATTGTTATATTTCATTGTTTAGTGCTGATACATAAACAGGTCTTCGCGTAAGCTTATTCATTTTCTCTGTGAACCGTCTCGCGAGCAGTCTCATCTAACGTGCAATATCTAGCAAGAACTATGGATAACTATGGAAGTAACTTCTCCGAGTGCTACTATCCTGCACCTCTTTCCCAGAAGACGAACGCGACGAACTGGAGCGAGTGTGAATCACGTGGACCGTGTTTATATCCCCAAAATGGTATCCAATCTTCACTCGGCTACTCGTTAGGGAAAACTACTTCAACAGCAACAAGTACGTGTGAAGAAATGACTTTATCCGTAATGGCTGGACCCAAAAACAAGATAAAAGCCGAGCTGAAGAACGATGAGTTGTGGAACGTCTTCAGAGAGAATGAAACGGAGATGATTATTACTCGAGCCGGAAGGTACGTATGTCAGTGGAGTTAGCTTCTTGCATCACGCGAATTACAACTCTGTAGTAAAAATTGAACCTACTCTACTGTTCCTGAGGGCCAAAGATTTTAGACTGTTATATGATTATTCCAAAATTTTATTTGCGCACTCATGAGTTCTTTAAAGATARCGTTCGCCTTTGATAGTCTTGCCTGTACCTTCAGAATTCAATTCGGTGCGTAGCGAGTACGACTTCCAACAACGTCAAATAAATTACTCTGTTTTGTCGTTATCCATTACTAGTGCACATAATAAGAACACTGCTTCGTAGATAAACACTCAAGCTAAGAAGTAGACTAAGCGCTAATATTTTTTTTCGTGAAAGTTTTTCTCTTCTGCGCACATTTTCTTACGTTACTAAGAAATGCAAATATAAATTCAAGAAGAGCCGGAAAAAATGTAAAAAGCGCTTAGTCATCAATGAAAATACAATAAATAACGCAGGTTTTATGAAGCATGATTCACGAAGATTAATCTATAGTTGAAATTTTTCATTTGTCTCATTGTATTGCAAATCTTCTGCGCTTGTAATTACCTCGTACCTCGCATGGTATGTGCACGAACTGCTTTGAAACGAATTTCGTTCTATAAGACAATCATGTTTGCGCAGTTGATTCAAATAGTTTTCTCGATTTATTTTTCTTTAAAACATGGAATAATTCCCAGGAAATCCATAGCAATCTGAAATGGCTTCTTGTTGTTTTGTAGCCGTGCGAGAAAAAAACATTTATAATTGTTAATAATTAATTTTTTTCATTATTTTTGGTTATTATTTGTAGCTCATTAGTTGGAAAATTGAGCTGTTGACTCGTGCATGCAGAACGTATCCGCTTTTTATAAACAAATCATTTCGCGTAGTTATTTTTTTGCAATTTTGAGATACCTACCTTCTCCCCAGTTTAGCGAACAATTTCGGCTCTTGAATCGTTCGATCGGTTCGGTTCGATCCTGACTCAATATCAAATCACTTGAAATTATGATACTGTAAAAACGAAAAGAGACAGAAAGCAATAATAGAGTAAAGCGGCGATTTAGACTTGATTGTTTTAATTCTTTTTATACTCGGGCGCATCGACTTTAAGTTCGGGCGGATCAACTGTAATTCACCTACCTACTTGTCTATTAGTCAACTAAATATCATTATCACTAGATCAACTTTATATTTAATAAGTATAACTGTAGATAGGTTGCAAATAATCATTATAAACGAAAGTTYAATATAGATGATTTCCAAGCACATTGATTGTATTCTACGTGTTTTACATAAACTTGCTTTGCATTCGTCTCTTTTATTTTCCCATTTTTATTCGTTCGTTTGTTTTAATTTCATTTTGATTTTTATGAAACTTTTATTTAGTCTAACTTTTCATTTACCTCTGTTTTCTTTTTCATTCTCATTTTTCATTCTCATTTCATTTTTTTTATCCATTTGTTTTTTCGCTTTCGTTCGTTTCATTTTTCCTGTACTTATTTATACTTACTTCTTTACTGTATTTTTCATCCTTTCTTTATTTTTCCATATACATTCATACCTTTATCCATTAATTTTTTTCTATACATTCTATTCTTTCCTTACAGTTATTTTAATTTTTTGACTAATTTTTAAAATCATTTATTTCTTTGTTTTTTTTGT